AGAGAGAGAGAGAGAGAGAGAGAGAGAGAGAGAGAGAGAGAGAGAGATTAGTATAATTGAAAATACAGTAGAACACCGTTTATCCGACCTAATGAAAAGCGAACACAAGTGTTCGGACAATAGAACAGCTTACTATTACATTAAATCTTAGATCTTAGAGTATCGTGTATTCGTTTAGATTAATTCTCCATTTGTACAGTAAATGGAGCTGTACGTGCAGTGCCTTAAAATGAACAATTTATATACAAGAAACATATTCGCGCAATAACAAATTCAGGAAGTCGTACGTTCTGATAATCGAGGTTCAGCAATAAATATTAAGAACGTACAGTCTGCAGTGCCTTTTAAATTCTGGCCTCCGCTACTTATACTCAACTATATCTATTCTGATCAAGATTAAATTCATGTTCTAATCTCGTAAGAGCGCATGATAGACCTTCTGAAAAATTCAAGCTGCGAACGTCGTGGCTTTGCGCACATACAGTGGATAACGAAAGTATTCGAACACTGGTATAACTTCGACTTCTACGGTAGATTACGGTATATTAAAGTAAAGTAAATGTCAAAATAAAAGAAACTTTTGATTTAGCATAAAACGTCATTTACATAATTAAAAAAATATAAAGGTATTTTCGTGCGATATAAGTATTCGAACGCCTTATAAAATTCAGTCGAGAAGTTATAAAGATAAATTTTTTTTATTAATTACTACTAATTTTATACCTCTATCGTTTAACAATATGTTTCAAGAAATTTGATATTTTAAAAATCATTCTTTATTTATGATAGATGTTGTTTTATATCTCTATTTCACACGGTTTTAATGTATATTTATTTAAATACATATATGGCGTAGAAAGTCAAAGTTATGCTAATGTTCGAACACTTCCGTTACCAACTGTATTTCGAAGGAATGGTGGCATGTTGCACTTATTTCGATGGAAGTGCCGACGATTAGGGCTCTCAAAGTTTCAGCCAACGGTTTCTCGAAGTATAATGCATACATAGAGAGAGAGTCGTTCGAAAACAGGCACGGCACAAATGAAATCGAGCGAGGACACGATAATCGCGTATTGCGGTCGGGAATGCGACTCGCGTACGCGTGTAAAGCGAAGAACGCGTTCCAATTCCTAATCTCGCATTAATCCCTCGTCGATGGACCGCGTGTGCCTTGCGATCTTGCTCAGCACACGCGCTTCGTCTTGGTGTTTTACGGCTCGCGGACGTATTTTCCTTCGGAACGAGCGAAGCGAGCGGGCGTCGCGCGACTTGACTCGCCTCGACTCGCCTCGACTCGGCGCCGCTCGCTGTTACGCGGTAAATAATAACGCAATTACGTCGTCAACGCGCGCGGACCGCCAGCATTATCGTGCTGCGAAACGAAAAATGAAAAAGGAGAACGTGAAAATAAAGAGTGCCGCGTATAATACGTGTGCGGTAAACCGCCGCCGTTGGTACGGCGACACGAGCCGCCACGCAGCCTTGGATAACAAAGGAAACGCGTCTATATTTCGCTCGCGCTCCTCGCCAGAAGGACGAAAACATGGCGACCGTTTCGCCGACCGTGAAAATCGTTTGGCGATTCGAAACGCGAGCGATAACCGGAGGATCCTTGGAGAAAATACCTGTCGGTGCTAGAAGTCGAAGTCAGCTGCGCAGGAGGAACGCTTATTTAATACCTTGACGTAGGTACTACGACGAGCCTGATCCGGGACGGAGGAGATTAATATTGTTCCGTTCTTTTAAATGTTATTTCGTTCTATTTAAAAATAGGAATATTGTTCAGTTCTGTTAAGTAAGGAGATTATTATTCTATTGTTTCAACCCATTATCCGCCAATGTCCCATTTTTGGGACACGTTTTCAAATTTGTTTCTTTCAAAACCTGCAACTTCTAAATAAAATACAGGCATCAAGAATTCCCGCCATTTCGTTTTAAATCGTTATAAACTTCAGATTGAAACTAATAACCTCAATTTAATTTTTTTTCTTGTATTTCTGAATTGCGGCGGGTAACGGGTTAAGAGTGATTCTGTTCTTTTAAATACGAATATTATTCTGTCTTTTTTTTTTGAAGTCGGAGCAGGGATTCTGTTCTTTGAATCGAAACTCGCAGTGTATTTTACACTGCACAAGTCCAAAATTCTTTCACGAGAAACAAGCAGCATAAAATTCTACTCGTTAAATGCTTCTGCGACGTACACGAAAGCGGCAGATTTTACTCCGAACTCGAATAGAAGGTATCCCCAACCGATCATCGAGCTGGAGATTTACGACCGAGAGCCGATTGAATATTGAACATTGACATTTTTCCTGCATAGGCAAAAAAATGAGCAAACAGAAAATATGAAAAGGCGAAGAGGAAACGGGTCGGGAATATTGAGCGGGGATTAATTCCGCAAAGAGGTTAGGAAACTCCGTACGGTACTCGCCGCGAATTATAATCTCCTCTGTCCGATCCTCTTGGAAGAGGAAAACTTAATAGCCCCGCGCAATTTCGTAATCATTTATTCTGCTCGCTTCGCAGTTTTTCATCAGAAGTCTCGATAGGAAAACAATAGTAATACTATGCGGGGGGAGCTGTTCCACGGAGAAACCTCTCGGCGAGGAAAAAGCTGTTATCGCGCAACTTTGTTCCGCGCGCCTCGATTACGCGAAAAAAGGGAGGAAAACGGGAAGCGTTACAAGCGTAATTAGAATCTCCGATTGCGTCACGGGCGTTTTAAACCGACGATTCGGATAGGCGCGATACGATCGGCACGAAGACGTTCGCCATTGGTATCACGATTGTTGGTACGACGATTGCGAAATCGTTCGGCCGATGAAGGACCTTCTGTACCGCTGAAGCGATCGTTACATATTCATCGAGCAGCTCTCGAATCAAAATTGAAATTAAATCACGAAAACGTATTACTTTCTATCTCGGTTGCAGTGCAAATGAATTATTCATGCGGAACTTATTTGTGTATTTTTCCACGTACAGTTAAAGTTTTAATACGTACAATCAAATCATATATAATATTGCACGTACATCAAGGACACGCATTAATTCGTAATTATTAGCCTATATTTATATCTTATTAATAATCTGATTCGTGGCGCTCGTTAACAGCACAGTTGCGTTAGGTACATTCCATTTTATTTATGTAACACGAGGAGCTCCACTTTTACCTTTACGGATTTATTTCTTCCGTTCCTGCGATGCAATAAATATTTTGCAAATTAACTCTGGACATGCTAAAACGGTGATTTTCGAGTGACAAGTCGAATCGATTGGAAAGACCGGGGTAAAGTTCGCGTGTCCGGTCAGCCAAGGAAGGAGATTCTCAACGGTGGGTCTCGAAACGAACTGGAAATCACGATCTGCCGCAAACAGTGCGATCCACCAGCCGCGGCGGACAAAGAACAAAGAATGTAAACGCGATAAATACGCAGCGATCCGCTGCACACAACTTTCCCCCGTTTGCTACGGTTTTCGCCATAGCGCGCGAACGGGTCATGCGAGCATGCGCCAATTGCATAACCTGGCCAGTCCGTTTTTCACGCGACAGAGCCAACTTAGTTCCTATCGAAAAGATAAACACCTAAATGTGGGACAACAGGCGATTATTGTTAGCCGACTATCGCGCCGCAGCGTTTTGCGCGCGGAGTAATCGCCGGCGCATTTCGAATTTCAAATTGTTCTTATCTCCCCCCAAAAAGAGTCGATTCGAGCAATTTACAAACGAGATTGTTTATTGCTGGCCGAATCTAGACGCTACTAGTCGTCAAGGACCTTGGAATTCTACATATGAGCCGTTTATTTTGAAAGTGGCATAAGTCACTTTACCGTAATGAAAAGTGGTGATTTTTTAATGTTTATACGAAATTATTTATACTGAGAAAAATATCAGTATCCTCGGGTAACAAATACAAGTAAATCTTCTCGAAAGTTAGCATCCATATTTTGAAACGTGTTAAAACGCAAACCCTTAAATATATCGATTTAAAAACAAAGTGACTTATGCCACTTTCAAAATAAACGGCTCATATAATAATTGCATCTTGAAAAACTGGTTTTGTTGTTGTTGTTCCAAGAGCCAGTTGTCGAAAACTTCCGAGTACAACAACCTCGAACAAAGTATTAGTAGTAAAGG